TCGATATTAATGCTATTCCTTAATTCAATGATGATTGATATTTATAAATTTACATGGCTTCTTTAAAAATAAGAATGTTTTTATCATTTTATATTATATTTAGTTCGACTGTCAGTAATAAAGACAAACAAATATTTTATTACCGATTAGTGACACATGCATTAATTATAAAAATATATATTTTGTGACGTTTTCAGTTTATTCACAATATTCCTTAATATATATTTAACTTTGGGTGTTTACTTTTCATTTCTTTTTAGCTTAATAATAGCTAGAATTAATCGATGGAAGGATCGTCGATATAGTCGTTGCCTCGTAAGATATCAGCAATGGCTCGATTTGTCATCGTTAGCAACATGCTTATAATTATAATATTTTAGCGTTTACAAAAGCGTTTAATTTTATTCAAAATTTGTTGTAATAAATAATATGTACAATTTTGAATACTAACACATTTTTTCGACTAAATATTGCTCTATATTAATTGATTTATTGAGAAAAAGACACACGATTGTCACAAATTGGGACAGCATCATTAATCGGGACATTCACCTTATATGAATTTCAATATGGCGACGAAATGTTGCAAGTTATTCCGTTCAGCGAACCTGGCAGTACACAGAACATTTTTCGTGCTCAACTTTTTTCCCTCTAGCCTATCTAGTTACGTCTCCTTATTCTTACTTCATGATACCAACGTAAATATCCTCGCGCTCGGGCGTAAACATTCGCGAACCTGTAATATCCTGTATGTGTCAGAAGATTATTTCGATCGTTTGTCATGGCTGCAAGAGTTGTGAATTCGTGTCGTTCGTACGTACAATTCGATGGGTATTTTAATACGCTATGTATTCCGGGAGAAAACGCTTTTGCCAATGGCGAATTTTAAACTTAAAAGGAGGAAAATATTGTCACAGTAAAGATTTCGTTAATAAATTATTTGCGTTTTCTTCCGAGACGTTCTGTAGGAGACCTGGATTCAAGATTCGAGTACCATGTATTTGAGTAGAAAGCAGACAGCATTTGGATATTTGTTGTGACATATCAGTAATGTTATTAATTTTGAACATATTCGATCAGCAGCTTATTGTTCGTCGAATCGATAGATTATTCAGTGGCTTACACAACTTCAGCGTTAATTAAACATTTACGTAAGACACAATAACAAGTTTACTCGTTATAAATCATTATTTGCTGATTAGTTGCCAATAATTAGTTGCTGATTGAATATTCGCGGTCTTTTGATCTCGAGTCATAGTGACTTGAGGATTGCGTGGATTCTCTGGACTTGTGAATTGATCTTATAATTATTTACATAGGTTTTTCAATAAAGAAGGCAAACTTAAGGCAAAATAAAAAATTTCTACGTAAAGATTAATTTTATTAATTCTATTCAACCGCATAACGAGAAAACTTCTATGCTGATATTGAATTAATAGAAACGGAATAACAAATGTAAGTTCTTTCTACTCAGAAATATTCTACAAAAGTAACAACAATTTATATTCTCTGATAAACAGAAATAAATATACTTCAATCATGAATTATTTTTTAATATATTAATATGCAAGTATATAATATATATTTGTTAATTTTTTTATACATAATATTATGTTTTAGATACACACAATATTATTTCATTATTAAATAAATAAAATGTATGCAAGTAATAAAATATTTCGGGAAACTACAGAAACCGCTAGCAGTTTATAGAGGAGACATTTGATTGTTCATTTTTATTCGCGTTGTAGCGAACCATTGAAAATGAGATTTAAAAGATAGCAATGCATATAGTGCAACCATGCGTTATTATATAATGGGTTATGCACTATTATTTGCGTGGTAATTATTTAGCATTGCTCGAGTTGTTATTCGACGGCGACACGTAACAATCTATTTCATCGATGTCAAAAACTGATTTCCCAGCCATTACATATTGAATCAACGTGTAATGGTCCAAGTTAATTGTTGCACTAACTTAATTATGACACCAGAATATTGTTTAATAATAACTTATAAATTAGATTTAATTACGTTTCTTTGAAAAAGAATATAAAAATTGCGATATATTATATATATTTATCCTGTGTCACAACTGCCTTATCCCGTATGTAAAAAAAAATATATGAGTGCAACCGCGTAGAATTTCTTCCAAAAGATCAAGTGCCGTACAGGATCGCCGGTGTATTAGGTGAAGAGAGAGAGAGAGTGAGAGGGTGAGATTAAGAAGAGAGAGAAAGAGAGAGAGAGAGAGAGAGAGAGAGAGAGAGAGTGCGAGAAAGTTTTGTAAAATACATGTATTATATGAACATTAGATACACATAATGTATACATATGTAACATATATATCAGTATAGACTTTGTGTAAATATATAGGCTACACATTAAGCTAAAGAAATATATTAAACCTACGAAGAACCATGCAGATCTGTATTTCTTTTGAAACTAACATTGCCTGTCATCACTTTAGTCGACCTCGATTTTTCCTCAAAAAGAATCAAGGCAGAATATAAAATTTGATATGAGTTATTAATTAATCGTTTTAATAAATAAAGTAAAGGAAAATTAAGTGGACATATATAAATATTACCAAAGATAATGAATTCAAGAGTGAAGCAGAAAAAGGCTGAGGAGAAACTCGAAAATAAAGTGCCTGGAAGCGCCACAAGCTGCAACCGCGTGATCGTTTCTCAATATTTATGTACATTTTCAAGTGTGTCGCGGTATACAATAGTCTTTACTAGCGTATCACGATTAACAAGCCGCAGGTGCCACGATCCGACTCTTTCGCACCCGTCGATTCGAGCTTCATCTACCCTAATTCGTCCTGTTCGGGGACAATTCACACGGAGGGGGGG